CAAACTTCTCCTAGCCTTGCGTCAGTAGAACTTGAAGTCTTCATCCCGTACTTGGTAATTAACCCCAAGAATACTTTGGGATACTTTTAGTTGACTGTGGTCCTATTTGGTTGCAGCTTCTAGTTCTTATAGTTTTTATAGGTAGATGGGAGGCAGTTGTAGTTAATGTTGTAGGGAAGCTTGCAGGGAAGTAGACAACTTGCAGGAAAACAAATAAGAAAGGACATACAACAAGGAAAAACCAAAAAAGGGCCCGCAGCAGGGAAAAACTCCGGCTAAGGATTGCAATAGGAAAACCTGTTGGAGGGAGAATTCCGGAGGAGGGTCTGCAACAGAGACACTTCCGACTGCAAAGAGATAGCTTGAGGGGCCTACAACAAGGAGAATTTTTGCTGCAAGGAAGAACTACAAAAGGGCTTGCAGGAAGAAATTCGACCGAGTAGGTTCTTACTTCCTGCAAGAAATAGTTTCTAGTGGAGGGTCTGCTACTATAAAGATTATGGAGACAGAAGTTAAATAGAGGAGATCTTACGGGGAGAATTCCAGTGCTAGGAAGAAGAGAAGGAGCTCCGGAGGAGGGCTTGTAGATCGACTGAAAGTATTCGGCAAAGGAGGGCCTGCACCAAGTGAATTTCGGTTGCAGGGAGAGTTCTGAGTCAAAGGAGAATAGAGGAAGGCCTGTAGGGAGTTTTCCAGATTTTAGGGAGTATTCTAGTGTAGATGGTTGCAAGGAGAAGCTCTGGAGGAGGGCCTGCATCAAGAGGATTTCAGTTGCAGGGAGAGTTCTGTAGCAAAGAAGAATAGAGGAAGGCCTACAGGGATTTTTGCCGTCTTTAGGGAGTATTCCAACGTCGATAGTTTTAGGGAGAAGCTCCAGAGGAGGGCTTACTGCAGGGAAAAGCTGCGATGGAGAGCCTGCTGTAGGGAGAAATCTTTGATGGAAGGCCTAAAAGAAGACAGATGGCTGCGATGGTAGAAGACAACGAAGAAACGACAATGAAGAAAGGAAAGGGCAGATAACAACTGTTGAAATTTGGTTAAATCAGGACTTTCTGGGATGATGATCTCCACACTGTAGTTCAGATGGGATTCAGCCACAATGAGGAGAATGTCTTCCCCTCTCAAAGCTTGCTTTCAAGGTTTACAAGAATTCAAAGAAGGAAAAAGCTTCAGTGAATTAAAAAAATGGTAGAAGAGAAGCGTTGATTGGCTTGAGCAGGTGGGAAGGGCTGCTGCTGCTGCTTAAGAGTTTTTAGACAGCAGGAGAAGGCCTCTGTAGGGATAGAAGGTCGGCGGAGAAGGGTCGTCGGTTGAGATCAAAGAGAAGCTTTCCAGCAGAGAATCGTAAGGTTTTTCTCCTTTTAGAGAGCAGAGAGATTGTTGCATCTAATTCTCCTTTGAACTCCTTGTTAAGCATCATATAAGCTTCAAACAAAACAAAACTAGAGCCTGTATCCTAAAGTTGTGAACATCGAAGTTTGGCGTCTCATCCAAGAGCTGAAGAAGAAGACCGGGTGTGCATATCCAAATTTTAAGATAATTAATGTGATCCTTCTCGACATCAACATTTTTACGGCCATCAATTAGAGGGCGTGAACTAGGAGTATGATTCTTTCCTATTATTTTCAATTCTTCAAAAAGTTGTCCTGCTAATTCCTTTGTTAGGGATATTATAATGCTTCCAACACCATCCTCAAGACCTCATCTTACTCTATATAATTTTTCTACAACCTTCTATTTCTTCAGAAACATGATTCGGTGTTTGTAGCAAGCATGATTTGTGGATCCTTCCAGGGGACGAAATGCCTTTAGCGAAGGAAACAACTTGCGGGGGATGACTCTGACGACTATTAGGAGAAGTTCCAAGGACTAGAATGAGTTCTTGTGGTTTTTGTTTGCTGCAAGAGGCAAGAAATGACTAGATGAAATGGCTCCATTGTCTCCTCGGGAAGATCTGGTAGGGTTGCTGGAAGGAAGTCCTACAGGCTAGCTAGTGGGAGACACTTGCAGAAAGAATTCCATAGAAACAAAGAGTCACCTGAGGGAAGGAGGTCCAACTCTTGGTAGAGGAGATTCCTGCTCTAATAGGAGAGGTTCCGGTTCTGGCTAAAGGGGTTTTTCGGCTTTGGCAGAGGTCCAGACAAGTTTCCAGTGGCAATGAGGAGGTCTGATGGCACGAGGGATCTTAGGTAAGGCCAGTAGCTCTAATACCATGTAGACAAATAGGTTCAGGGAGGAGTAATTTTTTCTCGTCATTATTCACAAGTAGGTTAAACATATATGGAGAAATCAATCCCTCATTTAGAAACTTATCTAACATATATCACTTAAATTAGCAAAACAAATAATTATGAATAAAAAAAATATAAAAAAAACATAAAATAGAAACATAATAAATAATCAAAGCTTTTCTAAGATATCACAAACAAATCCTTCAAGATTTGGAGGTGATAGTCGGCCCACATGAGAAATGTATATATGAAAAGAACTTAATCTTCTCAGATTTCCACAGAGACATCATAGATGACAACCTTTGATAGCCCTTGATAGGCTATCCAAGCTAATGTTGGCCTATATAAGCACATCAAGCTAGTCTAATTAAATAAAATAAATCATAAGAGAGAAGTTTGAAAATAATTTAAATAAGGAAGCTCCTAATTATAGGAAACTCCTAATTCAACTGCCTGATTTATGTGATCCTTGATTGATATCCCCTCAAATTGATGCTGACTGATCAAGAAACATCAATTAGTCAACAAGAAACTGATACGTTGTCGAGAAAGAGCCTTAGTAAATATATCAGCTGTCCCAAAAGATCATAAACTGTTCACCATATGAGCTTCAATAGATCCTGAAATCAAAGAAACAATTCGAGCATCCTTCGACTCCCATTGACCATGGTCTTTCGGCTCTGTAGGCACTGGAGAAGACCCATCCATATGCCCCCAAAGCTTATTCCCTTTCAAAAACATCTTGCACTGAAATTCTCATGCTGCATAATTTCTTCCTGTAAATCTGATAAATATAATTTCAAAAGACATTCTAAACAGACTTGTCGCTCACAAGTTGACTACCAAGAAAATCGTTGATCAAAATCAACCTAAAGCCAAAGAAAGACAAGATATCCAAAAAAATCCAAAGAAAACCAAAGAGCACCAAAAATCCATGTCCTACCTTGAATTCGATCTAAGACCGGAGGAGAGGAATTCGAAGCCGAAGCCTACAATCCTTGAGTGGGACGAAGAAGCTGAAGTCAAAGCCGAAGCCTACAATCCTTGAGTGGGACGAAGAAGCTGAAGTCTAAGTCGAAGCTGACGATCCTTGAGTGGAAGCAGTTGAAGACTCACGAGACGCAGTCGGAGGAAGACTTGCTGAAAGCAGTTGGACGGAATAAGCAGACTAAGATGCCGTAGAACATAGTCGATGAAGCGTGCGATAAAATAGCGAAGATGCATTCGAAGATGTTGCAAAAGCAGCGAAAGCTAGCAAAGACGACAATGACGTTCGGATGAATCCAAAGCAAACGAAGCAGACTCAACGAACGAAGCCTCTGCGCGCATCGCTAGCAAATCCTCCGGAAGCACGCCATGAACAGAAAGGAGGCAAGCGCAGAAACCACGAGTGGTCTCAGAATCGCTATCGACATCAAATCGCATCCGACCTATGGAGTCCATCCAAGTGGAGAGCCAAACTTGACCAGTACAACTCATGACGCAATTGGAGAGTATGCGATCGAAATTGGGGAAAGGAGGGAGATCAGTGGCGTAGAAGAGGAAATGTTTAACGCGATCAATGGGCTCATGAAGGGACCTAAATTCGTTGGAAAAAAGGTGAAGCCGGAGAGCAGGGTTGTAAGCCGTGATGACCATAGTTGCGGAGAAGCGGAGCAACAGAGAAGGCGGTGAGCAGCGGGCGAAGATGGAATGAGCTCGAAGATGAAGACGAACGATTCCCAAAGGCTAGGGAAAACGACGAAAGATTCAGACCAGACGTGACTATGATATCATGTCAATATTTTAAGCAAATAGACTGAATGTCTTTTTCCTTTGCTTTCATTCCAATAAATAATAGTATGTACAATCTTTTTTAGGTAACGTAATAAATATTCCTAATTTAAATAAGGAGAGAATATGTACAATTAAAGGAATAAATCAAAAGAGAAAAATTTGAAAATAATTTAAATAAGGAAGCTCCTAATTACAGGAACTCCTAATTCAGCTGCTTGATTTTTGTGATTCTTGATTGATAAGAGCATTGTAAAAAATTAAGATACATTTTCTCTATTGACACAATATATCATCAGCAGACAACAATAATAAACATAAAGAAAACAAAAGTAGGTGCAATTGTGCTGAATGCCAAGATAGTAACCAACTTAAATTCTACTATGAATGCCAAGATAGTAACCAACTAAAAAAAGGCTTATAATTAAAAATGCTTCTTTAATCATTATTCAGTTATTCTAATGAATCTCAAAAAAAAATGCAGAGATCAAAATACCATCTCCCGTGTATTAAATAGAGTACTTCATGCCCACAAAGAAAAGCTTCTCATCAGTTTGCTGTACTTATTTTTTTAATCACATATTTAAAAGATTACATATAATTGAGACCTTTTATACATCATTTACTTCACAAAATCTAAAAATCTTCTTCATTTATTGTTTTCCTAATACAAGAGAAGCTTCTCTTTTTAACATTCTATTTCTATCAATCATTTCCCCTGTAATGCATATGATACAAAGCTAGCTCTAAACACCTAATTACACTGCAGTTACAAAACTTAACAAAAATAAAGCATGTAGAGACAAGAAAATAAAGCTCCATCCCTTCCATCCAAGAAAGATTATGTGCATTCCATTCAATTATTATCTATTTACATAACTAATACCTAAACTTCAATTTTTACATATATGCCACGCATGAAAAGGTGTTTTAACTTTTTTTTAAGTTAAAATAGTAATAGTTTTGATATGATATGAAATATTTGGGTGGCAAAAATTTAAAAATCAAGTTTAGGCGTTAGATATGTAAATATATAACAATTGGGTGGTTTGTATGTAAATGCTCCTGACCCTACCGAGGCTTGATATTTGGTATAGAAGTGCTGTTAAGATTACTACCAGAAACATCATATGACAAGTATGAATATGTTAATGCTGAAGATGAGATTGCAGAGAATAATGGCGCACTTGCCTTCTCCGGATATTTGGTCGAAGATTCTGAATACAACATACCACCTTCTGGCATCATCTTCCATATGTTCTCTAGCTCTCTGACTATTTCAGGCATTGAAGGCCTCGCATCAGGCTCTTCCTGACAACAGCTATATGCTAATGAAGCAAATTTCTCGATGCAGTCAGAGGGATAAGAGCCCATTCGGCTGTCGATGATTTCAAAGGTTCTGCCGGATCGGTAGGCCATGCTTACCTGAGCCATTAACACAACAAAACTCAGTAAAAGTTTAGTTTTCCAAGTAGAATACAAAGAATCCAACAAGAAAATGACAGTTTGTAATAGAGAAAATTACAGAAATTAGTGGAAGTAAAAAATCATAGTTCAGATAAGGATTGGTACAAAAGGATGTTAATGGATCCCCAAATGAATCATGTATCCAACCTGCAAGTAATGTCTGGCATTTTCATACAGAAGGACATCTATCATCATTCAGAATTTCACATGTTCTGCTTGTAATAAATGGTTTACATCATTTTGCATTAATCTTGTGGTGAGACTAAAATACTGTCAAAGCTAACCAGCAAAAGCTACTAATGTATTTGTTTGGTGCATTTATGCTTGAGAAGGATATTAATGAAAATGGGTGCGTTAACAAAGCATTAAATATCCATAACACCAATAAGTTGAGGTCAAAACTAAATGAAATGCTTTTTCTCCTAAAAAAATAAGGTATTTAGCAGGTACTTGTATCAAAGGAATTATAAAAAGCATAGAATTTTAATTTTGCTTTTAAAGAACGACCTAAGAATACATCACAAATTGTTACATCAAAAGTTGGTATTGAGCTAATTTATCTGTCATTAAGATGGGTAATTTGATATATATATATATATATATAGTATGTATATGTATGTATATGTATGTATATGTATGTATATGTATGTATATGTATGTATATGTATGTATATGTATGTATATGTATGTATGTATATGTATGTATGTATGTATATATATATGTAGGGGAAAGAGCAACAGTGGCTTCCTACGCGTTAATTAAAAGAAAAGGTAAATGGAGGGGGGGAGGATCCCTTTCTAAGAAACCAAAAAGACATCTAAACACACCCCTAGGGGTTCCTCTCCCCACAATACAACTCACACAAAAAGAAATTTCCAAAATTACAGGTATACCCAAAACCAAATAGCAAAAACCCAAAAAGAAGTAAACCTGTGATCTAGTATATCTAGAGAAGTGACTGCACAAAAGAGATGTACAGAAAAAATCTTCCGGTTAGCAATGATTATCCAAAAGCAATCCCACGAGCAGACCAAAGAGCCGGCATGCCGCAATCCAAAGAGATCGAAAAAAACTCTCCCCAAAAGTCCAAAGCTTGAGACGATCGGATCCTCAACCTGCATCCTAAAAGGACTCTCCTGAGGAGAACTTCTCGACAACACTTAATATCTTACTCCGTGACATGTTCATTAATCCAGAATGGAAGCCAACAAGGAATCACATTTCCAAAATTTTAGAGACTGCAAGTTTTTAAGAATACATGTAAGTGCTCTTGCAACAATAATTCTTTTCACAAATACTATGCATTTAGTGTTCTCTTTTAACAGTGAAAGCAATGTGTCAATAGGCTCACTAAGGATCTGTTGGGGGCAGCTGCAGCTTAGCCACCTCAGGAAGCTGCTGCGGGAAAACTGATAGCATGTTTGTTTTTAATAATTTGAAAACAACTTTGTTGCAGTTGTTTATGGAAAAATGACTATCTTACCCTTGTGTAGTAATGTTGTTTGTAACAAAATATAAAATAAGTTTTTTTATTAAACAAATTATTTCTTAAGCAAAAAATTAACATTGATTAATAATTAATTAGTTGTAGATGTCCAGTAAGACCATCCATAACTAAAGCAAAAAGATATGGGCTTAAAGCCGATCCCTGATGCAATCCAACAAAAATAGGAAAATATTTGGTCAATCCTCCTTTAGTTTGAACACAAGTAACAACTCTAGTATAAATATCTTTAATGACTTGAATATAAGTCATATCAACACCCAAGAACTCTCCAAAGGATATCTCTTGGAACCTTATCGTAAGCTTTTTCTAAATTAATAAAAATTAAATGTAGATTCTCCTTATTATCTCTGAACTTCTCCATCAAACCTCTCAATAAATGTATAGCTTCCATAGTAGACCTGCTCGACATAAATCCAAATTTATTATAAGAAATCTTTGTATGAGTTGATTAAATTGGTCATGTACTCTTCCAACAAAGAATCACTTTAGCACAACTTGTAGACTTCTAAGAATATGTTCTGCTAATAATGCGGGGTTTAGTTGCAATTTTTTCATTTAGGCTTTCATTATAGGCTATGCGGTAATCTTGCTCTTCCCTCCCATTATTGAAGATGCCTTCAAATTCTCTCACAACAATGATATATTCTTCTTGTGTTTGTTTACTACTATCAATTTGACTAGCTTCTCCTAAGGAAAGCCCTTAAACTCAAAGATTAATTCCATTGTTCATAGCTACTTAATGAATTCATCTAAGATCCATATGTCTGTCAAAATCGGGTAAGTCGATCTTCACGCCAAAGTCCTTGTTCCTATGGTATTCAATGCTAAATCGTTAGGGAATTGACTCTTCATTGCTAAGATCTTCCTGATTGAAGGGGTTGACTTCTTCCTCTTGATCCAGCAAGTCACCATTACATCTATGAGTAAGATCTTCAAATTGTTTTCTTTCAAAACCATCAAACACTTGTTGTAGTTGAAGGATTTCTTTTTACATGTCCTCCATGATAAGTTCTTAAACACCTCTTTAAGGGTTTGTTCTTGTGGCATAATATCTTGCTCTTCACTTTAGGGTTTTGGGTAGGATAGGAATGAGGACCGAAGGTTAGCTAAGGGTTTAAATTTAGATGGTAGGTGTAGAGCCAGATTTTTTGGAGGAAGTAGGAATTTTAGATTGTCAAATTAAGAGATAGGGTTATATATTGACATAGAGATGTTTAGGGCACTAAGTTGGTGAAAGCGTTGGGTTATATAGATTTTAGGCTTAGAAGATAGGAAGACATCCCTAAAAATTTAGAGTTGAGCTCTCATATCAAATAACATCGATCTAGCATTCCTAAATGGTGTGGAAAGAACAAGGGATGGGTTATTATATTAGTAGAATAGACAACAAAGGAGCAATGAGTGAAGACGGTTGAAATGCAAGGCAATCAACTGTTGGACAACAGTTGGGCAATAGGAAAACTACTATTATGTTATGGAACCATCAATGTAAGAGGTCGTCGAACGTCCGATAGAGACCACTTTGATCTAGATTGCTAGTCACGCCACCTGAATGAGAAGAGGATACCGCTCTAAATAGGAAAAAAATAGAGCAGTAATCTCCAAATAACATAAACCAAATAAAAAATCCCAAAATCAGTTATAAAAACCTATAAATAGTTCCCAAGCAAAGGCAAAAGCAAGAAAAAAAAAAGACCTCTAATTCAAATTCAAATAATATAAAAATTGGTGCCTATAAGGATTGACGACAATAAATCAATGGGAAAATCCTGCTACATCTTTCACAGGACAAAAAATGTCTCATGCTCTATTCTGCGTAAGTGGGATGCTCTTATGTCCATCTCACATAAGCGGGGAGCTCTCTCATTAGCATCCCTATTTATTACTTATTAGACTAAAAGATCTCACACAACTAGAGAAAATACATGTCAAATTAGTGAAACTTTGGATTTAAACATGTGATTAGGCTTCTATTGACCTCTTAATGTTTTGAACGTTCAACATTTTTTGAAGTCATACTGGCCTATTCAATCGAGTTAGATTTCTTGGCATTCAATTCAAACTCGGCTTAGCCTCTTCAAGTACACATTTCTATAAATAGATACTTCTGAGGCTTGCCTACAAGATAGCTTTTTCATTGAAATTGACAAACTTCCTCCAGGAAAACAAGACAACTCCAACCTCCATATCAACCTATCGACGAAGGCCTAGTGATCTTGGATTATTCAAATTTTTTCCCAAACTTGTTATTGGCTGCATCGAGAACCCAAAGTTGCTGAGAACTACTTTTGAGACTTGCCTACTGCGCACTCTCTTCTAAGAAGACAACAAACTTCCTCGAATAAAGCTGGACAACATAGAACTCCACTAAAACCTCTCCTCAAGTGCCTATATTATGCTCTTAAAACATAACTTAGAATCTTTTAAGAGCTTGTAGGAGCATATTTGTGTCACACCCCAGCTAACCCCCTTTTAGGGTTAATCGTGGTGCGACAAAGGCATATGACTCAGTCAGATCAAATTCTCACCAACACTCATCCTAGGTTGCATAATCAGGACCCAGTGGGGTAATAATCAGTCTAACTCAATCATCACAAACATTCATAATCAATTTCATTTAATAATTTATACACATTCTCATATACTTGGAAGCGTGAAAATTTATGTCACCAGGAATCATAAAGAGAGCCGCTAAAATTCAATATAATAAAAATACATACCAAATAGTCTATAAACTCTCTAAACCTATACAATATAAATGTTGTACAATCTCACACCTGATTACTCGCTCTAGTGCTCCTTACCACTTGCTAAAATTCAACCATATAAAAAAGTAAGCTTCAAACTCAACAAAATAATCAAGACTAAAAAAAGATTGTATAGACAGAAAGAAAACAACGTACACGATCATTTGCAGCTCATAAGTATAACAAGGGAACATAAATAAAAACATGCTTAAATCATATCCGACACGTAAGGAAAAAAGGGCATAATATGCATTAACTAGAAGCAATTTTGCCAAGCATACATTTCATTTCTTTCATATGCAATCATATAAATACTGATTTCATAATCAATAATTGAAGCATTAGGAATGTTACTTGTAATTACATAGACTTTAACTACATTCATAACATTTCATGTCATTGAGTCGTCACCCAGCCCGAAGGCTAAAATAACTATTGATAAATGTTGAGTACCTCCCAACATAACAATTAGTAATAGCCCCCTATAATACCAACAGTTCACGAATTTTCTTCTCCGTCTGAATATTACAAGTCAGGAATCTCAATGTTTCCTATCATCCATACTTGCAAACATTCATATAATAACAAGCCTATCATAATAATTCCATCATTCATATAATCATAATTCTTGTAATAATCATTCATTTTAGAAAAATCATGTATCATATGCATAAACAATAGGATATGAATACCTAAAAGAGAC